GACCAACACAAGCTCTCCAGGGATAGGAAAGAGCAAGGCCCTAAAACCTAACGCCAGGGGCAGGGAAAGGGATTTAAAAAATGAAGATTCTATCATTATGCAACAAAAAGAAATGAAGCACTGTTCCATGCTACAACACAGATGAGCCTATACTGAGTGAAAGAAGCAGTCACAAAGGACTGCATATTATATGATTCCATTTCTATGAACCGTCCAGAAGAGACAAATCAATCAACACAAAAAGTAGATTAGTGGTTGCCAGGTCGTTGTGGTCAGTGATTGAGCGTCAACCTATGCACCTGGAGGGGAGGTGCACTAGTTCGATTCCCAGTTAGGGCACATGCCCTGGTTGGGGCTCCATCCCCAGCAGGGGGCGTGCAGGAGGCAGCCAATGTAGATGTTTCTTATCGATGTTTCTATCTGTCTCTCCCTTCCTCTCTCTCAAAAAATCAATAAAAACATATTTACAAAAAAGTAGATTAATAGTTGCTAGGGGCTGGGAGCAGGGGAGGGGGCTGGGAGATAATGATGATGACCAAGAGCTTCGTTTTGAGGTGATGAAACTGTTCTAAACTTGATTGATCCTACTTATGGATGCACAACTCTCTGAGTACACTAAAAACCACTTTCAATTGATGAATTGCATGGTATGTGAATTATGTCTCAATAAAGCTGTAAAAATCAACAATAACAACAACGACCTAAGAACCTATAGGCCAGGGAGAAGGAAGTGCAACACTACATGAAACTTTGCAGCATACCCCCACTAAAAGCTAAGAGACCCCACTCAAAACTTTCTTTTCGCAATGGGTTGGGGGAGTAGGGAACAGGTAATTAAAGAAGACATTACGACTAGCTTCAGAACACTGAGTCCAATCTCTTTCCTCACCACTACCTATTTTATGGACAGAGAAACTGAGGCCCCCAAAAAAGAGAACTGCCCAAAGATACAGGACTCAAACCCAAACCACCAAACAGGGACCACTTTCTGCTATACTCTGCCTCCCCACTGGAGGAGTCGGCACGTTACAAAGGCTCCTAGGAAGAACCCAAGTGCAAGATCCTGGGGAAACTGCAAGAGAAGCATCAGCCACGGTCTGAGGTGGGTCAGCCAGGTACTCACACACTCAATCACTGGGCATAGGTGGACTTTTGCAAAAAAAAAAAAAAAGAGGCAGCTGAGAGTTTGCCCAAAGCTATCAAGTAGCTATGCAGACGACCCTGGGCCTGCCCAGTTCAAAAGGCCCAATTCTTTCCACACACAGCCTTACCTCCACACCATCCAATAGGCCCCCTGACAGGCAACCCCGAGTTTATTCACCACAGCACAGGTGACCAAAAAAAACAAACCCTGAGCCTCACACCAAATAGGCTGCTTGTCCTGCCCACCAACCTTGGATGACGAAGAAGAAACACAGAGGCAGGGAAGAGACAGGGAGAAACCCAGTTCTTTCTCAAAAGACACCCACCATTTTCTGTCACCTCCAAGTCCAGAGGGCTTTGGTGTGAGATCTCTAAAATCCCAAACCTAAATGACACCCACCAGCTCCTTACCTGACCAATAGGGAGGG